CACTCACTCACTCACTCACTCTTCCAGGCCAAAGTCAAAGCCTTGGGAGCTCTGACTTCATAACTTAGGAGAGGTTCCACTTCTCTTATTCCATTAGGTTCTCTCAGTCAAACAGATCTCACCCTCCATTTACAAGGGAAGAAACTGAGACCCAGAGCAACTTGCCCAGGAACCTAATTAGTGCTAGAATGGGTCAGAACCCATAGGCTGTGGGCCCTGTCCTTCCTATTGCTGGTCCATCTCCGGGTACGGTAGTTGTTATTACTGCTCTGAAGTCAAGCAGGCCTGGGTTGAAATTCTGACTCTCTCACTTGCCAGCTACTTGACTTTGGGGCAAGAGTGCAATCCCTCTAAAGTTCAGCAGAAAGAGACCTGGTGGCAGAGTGGAGTTGGCCCTGGGCTGCTCACCCACAAGGTCAGCCGTTCAAGCCTGCTCGTGCCGCTGCAAGGGAACTGTGAAGCAGCCTGGCCCCACACATGTGTCCAGTCTCCCTCGCCCTGTGGAGCAGCTCTGCTCTGTCCCGTAGGATCCCTGAGTCAGAATCGCCTCAACCGCAGTTCACGGGTCCACGACATAGCAACAGTAATGCCTGTGGCCTTTCTGTGGGAATCACATAAAACATACGGTTAGAAACAGTTGAAGCTAGTTGCTGACAGATTTGAATCATCTGTGCATTCATCACTTGTGGTAATGAGAGGATGGATTATTACCAAGAGCCTTGCCCCTACCAAGGAGTCTTGGTGGGGCTGTCGGGGATCATTGGATTACCAACTGCACGGGTGAGGCCGCTGCTCCCGGTAAAGGTTTACCACCTCAGAAACCCTGTACAGAGTTGACCTGAGTCAGAAGTGGCCCAACGGCAGTGGGTATTTGGGTCATGCTCCTACTTAGTCACCAAAACCAAATCGCATGGCCAAGAAGGAAACGGTGGTCATGAAGGTGCCAAATCCTACAGCTGGGGCTCCACTGACGCAGATCAGGAAGGAAGTAGACTTGCCATGGGGAAAAAGAAGAAAGTAAAGGCAGCAGAATTCCCACACAGGGTAGTGGCCGTCACCGTCTCTCGCCTTCACTCTCAGATCCCTTCCCTTCCATTTGCCCCTTCCACGTCTCGCCTATTATTTGTTCATCTTCATCCATTAATTTCTATCCAGATTTTTATCCACTTGCTTTCTAAAGCCAGTCAGTAAGAGACAGCGCAGTGATCAGGTACCCAGATGACTGGCAGACGTTCTGTTGGCAAAAATGTATGTGGGGGACATGGGCATGGCCCTGGCATGGTGAAAGGAAGGACGAGGAGCTAGACTACCACAGGATGTCTTAGAGCAAGTTTCTATGTCTTGGCCTTCCTGATCCATTAGACTTGAGGTATGTGGAATAGGTGACAAGGTGTGTCCAGATCAGAGCCTCTGATGACATGACCCCTTTCCTGTGTTGAAGGAGCTGGAATATCAGAAATCGCAGCCTCTGCAGCCCGGAGACAAGTTCGTGTCTGTGGTCAGCCAGTTCATCACAGTAGCCAGCTTCAGCTTCTCGGATGTTGAAGATCTTCTAGCAGAAGCGAAAGATTTGGTAAGTTTTCCCCACTGCCTGCTGAGTGTTGTTTGACAGGGCTGCACTTTAATGAATACTTTCTGATTTCTGAGCATCCAGGCAACCGCCGGAATAGGATCCAAGCATCACAGTGCAGGAAATAAAGTGCAGGTAGTTGCTTGCCACATGCCGTTGTTTGGTGTACCGTAGATGTATTTTCATTCCCAGGCCCCCGAGCAGTTGAAAGAGACTCTTATCTTGGTGGCCTGTTGTTGCCTTTAGGTTAGCAAGACCGCAGAGATCTGTGTGGTGTCAAGCCCGTTTTCCCTGAGTTGATACTGCAGGTAGGTGCTTATCTCCGGGAGCCAGGATAGATTCCGAAACCAAGAGCAGGCTGAAGGGGAAGTCAGGTGAGACGAAAGCAGTGTGCCCAGTGCCTCCAGGTAACATGCTCACTGTAGAGACGTCCACAGAGGACAGGGCACTCTTCTGTCCTCCTCATGTCTCTGGGAGAGCTTGTGAAACGGCCCGTGCTACAATCCCCAGCCTTGTTATAGGAGTCTTCCCCACACCCACACCCCTCACTCCCTGAGAGCATTTCTTTTTAAGATGGTTACTTTAAAGATTGTTTGAAATTTTTATTTTTCAGTGGGAAAAAAACATTCCAGGCCCCTTACATTCTTTTCAGTTTCTCACATTCTCAGACTTTCTCTATTGCTGGCTCTCAGCATCTGCTCTCTGCCTTGACATTTCCGGTTTAAATCCATCACATCACACACCTGTCTACACACACAGGAAACACTCGCTCCGTCTTCTAGTGTGTGCGTGCCGTTTATCAAGCCCTTACTCCACCCCGATAGGGGTCTTCTAGTGTGTCTGCTTGTCCTGTCAAAACTTTTTTTTGCTTTAAATCTGATTCCTCCCTAGAGACGGAAGCAATAGATGGCACTGCCCAGTGGTTAACTGTCCAGTTATAAAAATGGATGATTTGGTGGGGTCGACCCTTTCACAGGGGTTGCCCGATTCATAACAGTACCAAAATTATAGGTATAAAGTAGCAACGAAAATAATGTTATGGTTGGGGTCACCACAACATGAGGAACTGTATTAAAGGGTCACAGCATTAGGAAGGCTGAGAACCACTGCTGTAAGAGTACACAGTGGGTGAAATTCAGGAAGAGACCAAGCTGAGCTATATCAGCTACTCCCAACATCAGCCCTTTCCCTCAAACATTATTATTTTTTTATATATAAATCATTTGGGGGGGGCTCTTACAGCACTTATAGCAATTCATACATCAGTTGAATCAAGCACATTTGTCCATATGTTGCCATCATCATTTTCTAAACATTTACTTTCTATTTGAGCCCTTGGTATCAACTCCTCTTTTTTACTCCCTTGATAAATTATAAATTATTATTTTCATATCTTACACTGACCACTGTCTCCCTTTTCCTTTCTGTTGTTCATCTCCCTGGGGTGGGGGGTAATTATGCATCAACCATTGTGATCAGTTCTCCCTTCCTCTCCCCACCTTCCTACCCTCCTGGTATCGCTACTCCCAGTTCTGTTCCGGGGGGAGAGGGGGGAGGCATCTGACCTGGATTCCGCGTGTTGTGAGCAATTATCTGTACCTGTGTACATGCTCCAGTCTAGCCAGAACTGAAAGGCAGGTTTGGGGTTATGATATTGGGGGATGAGGAAACCTCAAAGAAGCAGAGGAATATTGTGTGTTTTATCGGTGCTATGCTGCGTCCTGGTTGACTCGTCCCTTCCTTGTGACCCTTCTGTGAGGAGATGTCCTACTGCCCACAGATGGGTTTTGGGTCTCTTCTTCCAACCCACCTTGTTCTAAACAATATGGTATTTTTTTGTTTTGTTTTGGATCTTTTGATACCTGATACTTGATCCCATTGATACCTCATGATCGCACAGGCTTGGTGTGCTTCTTCTATGTGGGCTTGTTGCTTCTTTGCTAAGTGGCCGCTTGTTTAACTTCAGTCCTTTAATACCCCAGACACTGTATCTTTTGATAACCAGGCACCATCAGCTTTCTTCACCATATTTGCTTATGCACCCATTTTGTCTTCAGAGATCTTGTCGGGAAGGTGAGGGTCACAGAATGCCAGGTTGTTAGAACAAAGTGTTCTTGTGTTGAGGGAGGGCTTGAGCAGAGGCCCAAAGTCTGTCCACTTCCTCCGTGTATTGCCATATAAATATATGTACAAAGGACAATGCCTCTTTTTATGAATTAATATATTTACATAAGTGCATACCTATGTTTATGCCACTATCCATAGCTTTGCTTCCCAGACCTTTCTTCCGTTTCTGTTTACCTTCCTCCTTTCCCACCGTCACCCTCGCCCTTCTTCCTCTTAGTCATTCCTCTCAGCTAGCTGCTGTTGCTCCAACCCCACCGTGATCTCTGCGTCCTCCTCATTGTTGCTTTTAATCCCCTAGTTGTTGCCCTGTCTGTGGCGTTGTTTGCTCACCACCCCTGTCCCCTGCCTCTCCTCCCCGCCCAGGTCCCTCCAGAAGCTCGGGTCCCATTGCTTTCTCCTCGGGCTTTCATCCCGTGCCAATCTTACATTGGTAAGCAAAACAACAAGAACAGAGATCAAGCAAAAAGGAAAAGGCATACATAATTCCAGGTCTGTCTGCTGACCTTCATGGCTTATCTCCCCACCAGCCCTGGGGCGTCCCAGGAACTGCCCTCCTAGCTGAGTCCACATTGAGGGCTCCTCATCGTTTTGTGGCTTTGCTTTGTTCCCATGGCTGCTCCGTTGGGTTCCCTTCTTGGTTCACACCAGACACACTCCCCGCCGTGTGTCCCCAGTGTTGTCCTCTGTCCAGGTAAGCTCCGGCGAGGGGACATCACCCCTCGAGCTGTTGTCAGCCCTACAGTCCTCTCTGTGCCTTAGCAGCTCCGCGCAGGGACGGCATCCATAGGGCTTGGTGTGCCCGTGTGGGGTCTAGCCCCTCGCTCTCTCTCTTTCCTTCTTGGTCTGCTTCTCTGTGGACGGGGCAGTCCAGCCCCTTCCCCCAGCCTGCGGGTTTTAGTGTTGTCCTCTGTGGCACGTGTTTCTAGTGGGGGCAGGGGGCAGGTTGGCTCTGATAGGGACCAGCCCTGTAGACCTCTCTCAGAAAAGGAAGTGTGAGTGCAGACCCCACCACGGTGTGCCAAACCTGCAGGGCAGCGTAACCACATGGAGCAGCTCAGGAACAGAAAGCTCTTTATTATATTTTTGAGTCTTGTCACACCCAAGGTGGCGCCATAGGGTAAGCCTTGCTGCTAACCATGATGTTGCTGGTTTGAATCCACCAGCAGCTCCTTGGCGGAACGATAAGGCTGTCTGCTCCTGTAAGGTTTCACACAAAGCCTCGGAAACCTTACTATATAGGCTGCTGTGACTCGGAATCGACTCGCTGGCAGCGGTCATTTTTTTTGTTTTTTTGTTATGTACTTAGTAAAGGAAAGGCCACCATCACCCACCTTCGGCAATAAAGTACTTACTTTATCAAGTACTTTTGTAAGAATCAATTAGATAAGTAAGTTTTAATTAAAAATAAATCCCACAGTCTACTTTTTCTTCAAGGGTGAGAACTTTCGTTTGAGCCTAGCTTTCTTTAGACGACTTCTAAGACTGACATGTGCATGACTTCCTGGTCGCTAGAATTCCTGCGGAGAAAGATCACTGGGGTGGCACAAGTGCACAGGCCTCTGTGTTTCAGAAACGTGGTTGTAGCCAGAATGGTTTTGGCTACTTTGTTTTTGCCAGAGTGTTTAGAACTTAGGTCAGTGGATCAAGCTCCTGCATTTGTTTGGTATGTGACTAATGTTGTTTTTCCCTTAAGACCTCTCTTCTAGTGGAATATTTCCAAATAAGTAAAACACTAAGAACAACTCGGTGAAGAGGCTACGGTAAAAAGAATAGTATATTATAAATGTAATGGTAGGAAATAATTATCCCCAAATCTTACACACACAACACCGCTGTCATTGAGTAGATTGCAAAACCTGTCAGACAGGGTGGAGCTGTGCCTGCGTCGCCAAGGCTGTCTGTTTTTACAGGAGGAGAACGTTTCTCCTTACTCCCACAGAGCAGCTGGTAGAGCTGAACCCCTGACCTTGCATTGGCAGCCTCACCACACCCTAGGCTTCCTTAGGTTAAAAAACGAAAAGGTGACATGAATGATGTCAAAATCCGTTGTTATTTTCTCGTCAAAGCCATGAGCTGTCACAGACGCCAGCATCTTCAGGACGAGAACACACCGCTGGAAAGCCCCGGGCCCAGGTGACACCAAGGCAGGGTCTTAAACAACTTCAAAGGAAAGTTAAAAGTACATGTTTCCCTACCCCTGCCGAGTGTGCCGTTAATTGTATGGCCTGGGTACTCTGCCCTACAGTATTCGACTTCCTCCTTTTTACTACTGTTCGGTTCATTAAAAACAAACAAGATCGGGGCAGTGGTAGATATTGAACTGAAACGAGGTGGGCAGCAATGAATTGGTTCAAAATATGAGGAGCATTAAGAGTTGACTTGTCAAATGATTGTTGGATCTGTTCAACAGCCCACAATAAGCAATAGGCTCCCTGAAATCCATTGAAAGCTGATACCAGACCCCATCTGACCCTCGGTCCTTCTCTAGGGAGAGAGCGGTGATCACGGAATGCCCTTGCCTTCTCTTTCTAGTTTACAAAGGCAGTGAAGCACTTTGGAGAAGAGGCTGGCAAAGTGCAGCCCGATGAGTTCTTCGGCATTTTTGATCAGTTTCTTCAAGCAGTGGCAGAAGCCAAACAAGAGAATGAGAACATGCGGAAGAGGAAGGAGGAGGAGGAGCGCCGAGCACGCCTGGAGGCTCAGGTAAAAGAACAATGACTGGGTCCATTGGCGTCCTCCCGGAAGGTTTCCTCCGTTTTCCACCCAACAATCCGCGAGCATCTTTCTTGTAGTCAATTGCAGCTCCGCAGTGTAGCATCGCTTAGCTCTTCTTCCTCCGTCCTTGTTTGTTTTCTTTTTTCTTTTTCCTCATGAATATATTTTTAATGGTGAAGACCCCAGGATATAGTGTCAACTGTGACAAATTGTATTACAACTATGTAACATCATCTCACTGAAGAGGTGGGGCGGGCGGGAAAGGATCTGGCCTACGTAACTTTGGAAACCTACTTGGTATTGAACAAATAAGATGGATTGGGAAACTATTATTTCCAAAGGAAAAACTTGACACGTGTGATCAAGGCTAACATTGCAAGTAAGAAACCATGTTGATATCATGTATCTTCTAACATGATGTGAGGAGAAGGAAATTTCATCTCTGATATTCTTCTCAAGCCACAGCTTTAGTATTATCATGAGAAAAAAAACAGACCTACCCATGCTAACATTCTGTAAAGCATCTAAGTTGGTGTCCAGCCTTGTTTGTTTTCTAACCTTTCTTGCCTCCAAAACAATGTTGCTGGGCAAATGCTCTCCTTTTGATAACAAAGTAATGGATTCTTCTAAGGAGCTTGTACCTCCCTAGTGTTATTGGTCACCTTACAGACCCATCGATTGTTAGGCTGACAATGTGTGGGGGGCGGGCGGAGGAACGTGTCCTCCTGTGACACCTGAGAGCGTTGGCAATTATAGATGAACGTACCTTGATGTGGCCAATGGCGTTGTCACGGCCCAGCCACATCACCTGTACTTGAAACAAAGCGTGTGGCCCTTCTCTGAGATCGCTCTGCACCTTCCATCTCTTTGCAGCTCAAAGAGCAGCGGGAACGGGAGCGCAAAACGAGGAAAGCAAAGGAGAGCAGCGAAGAGGGTGGCGAGTTCGATGACCTTGTGTCAGCTCTACGCTCAGGAGAAGTCTTTGACAAAGACCTCTCTAAACTGAAACGGAATCGGAAGCGCATTACCAACCAGATGACAGACAGCAGCCGGGAGAGACCTGTCACAAAGCTGAACTTCTAATTTTCCTTGAACACTTTTTTAGAAAGCTCACTAGCAGCCCTTTGAATTGACTAGAATGTTTCATTACACTGCCTTGAAATCCAAACAGTGGCAATTCCTTCTTCTGCGTGTGTGCGTGCGTGTGCACGTGTGTGCACACCTTGTATATAAAAGTCTGAGTGTCGTCTGGAGGCCTTTGTGTGTTTTAATAAGGAAAACTATGTTAATGTATGTGCTCAGAATTGAGTGTGACTCCTTTTCCTTCCCTGAACACCATTGACTGTTCAGAAGCACAACACTGTCTCCTGAAAGAGATGACAGAGACATTTCCTAGAGAAAATAAAAAACAAACGCAAAAAAGAAAGAAAGAAAGAAAGAAAGAAGGCGCACAAAAGGCTTGTGAGCTGTCTCGTGGTTTTCAAGCTTGGCAGACTTCGAAGTTATTTTCATTGGTGGAACTGCTGTTGGAAAAATAGAGTTAAAAATGGCTTCTGATTGTTGACAAGGTCATGCTGGGGTCTCGCATGGGTCACGACAGGACCAGGTAGGACTATGTGATGGTGGTGTGGGGATACAGTCTGTACATGTAGATTAAGAATACCTTAATCTGCCATCTGAATTACGTAGAGTGTCAGTCAAGACTGTTTATAGATCTAAAACTTGAACGTCATCCCTTCCCCTCCCACCTCCTACCCCCATCCTCCTTCCCTAGGCTCATGTAGTTCTCTGCCAAAGGGCTTTGGATTTCCTTACACTGCTTTTGGAAAGAACCTCGTTCTCAATACAGCCCATGCTCCTGTGAAGAGAACAAGATTGCTAGAATGGGCTGTCGTTCTCTCAATATAGAAGCATCAACTTTAAAAAACAAGACTTAACAGGAAGAATCCCCTGAAAGGATGATGATTATAAAAAGGTGGGGGTTGGTTCTCCCCTTTAAATGGGGGTGCTTCTTCATTCTCTATTGGGGGTGGGTGTGCGGGGTGGTTCCTCTTTTCTGTTCCGGAGCACAAACTGCATCTTCTGTAAGTAAATCCATGCCTGGGAAAGGGCGCGTTGTGAGTGCGTGCGTGCCGAGCCCCCGGCAGCCACCACGATGCTGACATCGACTGTCTGTCTGTACATGTGAACTGGTTTGCTGTTTACATGTGGTCATTTGAAATTGTGTGTCGGTAAAGCTACCTGTAATATTTCAGTCCAAAAAAAAAGTTCTCAGGGAGAAGTGAATAAAAACAGTAGACATTAGAAAATAAGACAGATGCTTACCATTAACCTACAAACGCTTAATACCCTTAAGTTATAAGGTCTATAAAGAGGACCGTTCCTTTCTTTTGGCTTGGCTTGGTTTTTATTTATTTGTAGTCATTGGGGCAGGGGGGGGATTCTCTCTTCTTTCTGTCCATCCTGTTGTATATGGTTGGGTTTCCTGTGGAAAGAGTAGTTTGTCCTGTTGCACTAGAACATTATTTACTCACGCAATTGGGTCTTTCAGTCAGTTAAGAAATATTTATTGAACACCTACTATGTGCCGGTCATAGTCAGGCTACAATAGTAGACAAGACAGAGTCCCTGCCCCCACGGAGCGTAGGTTCCAGCAGGGACCCTGAGGGATGACTAGAACACCAATGTGCTCGCTGTACAGGAGTCATGCTATTTATAAGTAATATGTATAAACTATAATGCTTAGCACAGACGGCTTGGTAGCTGTGCTATTCGAAAGCTGTGAAATAACGCTCTAAGAGTTGCCAAGAGCTGTGGTTCTACACCCCCCACCCCCACCCCTTGCAAACTTAGCGACTTTCTCACATTCTGTCAAAGTAAAAAGACTCTAGCGAATAAAACTGTAGGGTAGAGGCCAAGCGCTCCAACTGCTATTTTTTCCAAGGTCTGCAAACACACTCTGTTACCGGGACAGGCTTTGCTCAAAAAGGCTTGGAGACGAGATGGAGTGGGATATATGGAAGGTTTCGTCTATTCCTTAACTTAAAGTGCCTCTTTTTTTTTTTTTCTATTTATAGCAGGAAAAAATTGGTCGGGCTCCATTTGAGAAGTGTATTTGGGGAATGACTTTGTTTTACAATCTTAGGAATGGTCAAGTGGAGGGAGAGTCACACACAAAAAGGAGCAAGTTTGTTAAGCACGTCCCTCTTGCCCTTGTTCGTTGTCCTCAGTTTGACACGGCCATCCTGGCCGGCCTCCTTTGCCACTTCCATTTTGGTTGTTCCCCCCCCCCACCTAAAGGCTGTGTGCAGGTGATTCCATGTGCCATTGTAGAAGAAAACAAAACAAAGAATCCTACTTTTTAGATCGGTGCTGGTGTAAGTAGCCACTTTTCTCTCTTGGGTGTATATTTTAAAGTTTTCATTTGTTTTTTAAATTAATGCCAAAAAGCAACAGCACTATAATTTGTATCTTAATGATATGTCTTGTATCTTAGCTTAGTCGTTGGATCCACTTAGTCTTCGGGCGCAAGACCTGTCGTTACAGTTCCAAGAAGAAAAGATGTTGTATGTGTTATGAGACTGTACATTTTTTAATAGCAATATGCAATAAAGAGTTGAATTCATTGGGTGTATATATATGATTTGTTATTAAAACAATACCATCAACCTTCTTTGTACTCCTCCCCACTGAGTTTAAGTACGGCAGATTGTTCACTAAATCAGAAACACGGGTGTGTTTAACTTTATAGAGAGGCTTAGAAGCTGCTGGCTTTCTGTTACAGCATTATTCAGTCAGTCCACAGGGTAGCATTTGCTCCCAATTTCTATATTCACTTACGTCAAGTTACACAGTTTCATGTTATGTGTGGCGGGGCTACTGGTAAAATTATTCAATTGACAGCATAGAAAATCTCTTGTCTCTGGAATCAGAACCCTTTTTATTATGAAACGTTTCTCTCAAAAATAAATTCATCGTAAAATAAATAAATAAAATCATCTAGGCCAGTGTGGGCAGTGCCCCCTTGCAGAGCAAAGAGTGTGTTTTATAAGCATCCTTCTGAGAGTTGGCCCCACACCCTCTGCCTGCCTGCCTATCTTCAACCCAGTTTGGAGCTAGGGTCAAAATAAACTGCCCCAGGAGAGGAGCCTGCAAGCACACCAACTGATCATCTGTCTAGTCTGGGGAGCAGAGCCTCGTGGTAGAATGCTCATGGTAACGGGGCAGAGCTTGTAGCTGCGGGCTGTCTCGTTTTTTCCATTTCGTCATTGGCTACTGTATGTGACCCCAAGGCAGCATTGCTCTTGGATCCCACCACTCAGATGAGAGACCATTCTACACGAATTTTATAATCCATCCCAAATGCGAACAGTGACATTGCCCATTTTACATTTGAGAGTGGAGTGATTGTTAGAAACACCTCTGTTCTGGGCTGTGCTCAAGAGTATTGGCAGAAATGGGCAAGCAAAGCTTCAGCTCCTTACACTTGCCTTTATGCCTCCTGTTTCCCCCAAGAAACCATCATGGGAGGAGTGCTTTTGTCAGGGAAGTGAACTTATTTCAGGTGGTATCATGGGTGACGCATTGGGCTGCTTACCACAAGGTTGGTGGTTCAAATCCACCAGTTGCTGCATGAGAGAATGAAGAGGCTTTCTGCTCCCGTCAACACTAGGGAAGAACTGCCTTGCGGGCTGGGTTGCTGAGAGTTGGAAGTGATGGGAAGGCAGTGGGTGATGGGAACGTGTGTCAATGCAAGGCAAAGAGGATGGATAGGGCGAAGCAAAGGTGTCAAGAATGTTCTCAAATGGCCAACTTCTGGAGAGGTTTCTCTGAGGCTTCAAGAACTTTCCAGGGTTTGGCAGCTAGTTGATGTTCCACAAGCCCAAGCGTCACTGATCTGTGGGCTGTGTGTTCTCAGCGTCCCTGGAGGCACCGTGATGGTCACGTGAAACCACCTGGCACGCGTGGGAGAAAGAGAAGGCTGCTCCCGTAAAGATGTACAGCCCGATAGCCAGGGAGGCAGTCCAGCTCTGTCCGATAGGGTCACTATGAGTCGATAGCACCTCGATGGCACTGGGCTCTTCTGAGTTTAGTGAGGACCCTAGGACTGCCTGAATCGTGGTATTTTATGATGTGCGGTTGCCGCGAGTCACGTGCTTGTTTTCTCTATGCAGTGCATACACTGTTTTAAGCCTATAGCCTGTTACCTTATGACCTTGAACTCTAAAAAATCAGTTGCCATTGGGTCCACCCCAGCTTATTTGTGGCAGAGTAGAACTGCTTTCTAAGGCTTTTTAAGGCTGATTTCGGGGGAAGTGGATCATGAGACCTCCCTTCCAAAGTGCCTCTACATCAGCGTTTCTCAACCTGTGGGTTGCGAGCCCTTTGGGGATCGAATAACTCTTTCACAGGGGTCACCTGATTCATAACAGTAGCAAAATTACAGTTATGAAGTAGCAACAAAAATAATTTTATGTTTGGGGGACATGAACTGTATTAAAGGGTTGCGGCAGTAGGAAGGTTGAGAACCACTGTTCTAGATGGATTTGAACCTTCAACCTTTGAGTTAACAGCTGGAAGCATTAACTGTACCCCCGGGGGGTCCTGACGTCCACCTTACTCCTCTAGAGACCTACGAGTTTGTAATTAAGAGAGAAAGGAGGATTCAGGAAGTTGGGCGCACCTGGAGGAAGGAGTTTGGTGTTTATAGGAGTTTTATTGTTTTGCCGACCTGAGACCAATCAGACTGATTTGCCATCCGGCTTGTGGGGGAAACATCAGACCTGCCCTTTGGTCTCTCTGACATGCTTTTGTCTGCACCAATAAACCATGTGTCCATGGTATCAAACAAACATTAGCACAGAACCACACACCAGGGTTTTCGGGCAAAGGAGATTTTTTTTTTTTTTGCTAAACCTTGGGTGTGTTTTTGCTTTGCATGAGCAGGAGGGATTCCCACGTGGTGCGTGGGTATATGTTTCCCTCTTGATCTGAATAAAGTATGCTCTCCACTCGGGTCCTGTCCCTGGGAGAAGGGACAGCAGCCAGAAGCCTGGCTCTGAAGGGTGATCTTCGCTATGATCCTCCCTGTCCGTTGAGCCGTTCAGACAGCGTGCGGGCATTTCTGTGGCCTCGCCTCTGCTTTCAGTGAAGCAGAATGTTCCCAAGTCGAATCAGGTTTGAGAGGCCAAGTTCACCCTCCCTAGGAGGCACCTTTCCTTCCTCGCTCAAGCAGCTCCCCTGGGTAAGCCACCATCCGAAAGGCCTCAGAATGAGGAATTCTCTTAAAGTACCTTTTGCAACGATGGTCTACAGTCTTGAATGTAATCTGCTTGACCCTGGAAAGCAGCAGCTCTTTGGTGATGTTTTTGTGGCTGGTGAATGGACGCTCATAGAATGACCTTCCGATGTCTGCTAGGACGCAAGGATTGGAGGCACCGTGGGGAGTGGGGCCATGGGGACCCTGCCTCACCGGTCTCTGTAAAGGACGTGTGCAGTTGGCACTGACTCTCCCACACGAAAACTTGGCAAAGTGGCCCTGACCAATCCTGGTACTTGTAGTCATCCAAGTCTGCTCCACCTGACTTGGCATCTATCTAGTCTGTTCCTTGCACCAATTTCTAAACAGCCGTTGGAGCCTAGGGCCTCCAAATTTCCAGTTTCTCTTTGCTGCCAGCAAGCATGAGATAACATCCTAGGTCAGTCTCCTCCGCGGCTTTGCTTCCTTTTATGGACGCTGAGCAGAGTGCCTCTAAAACTTTCCGTTGCAGGAGGCTGCAGTCCTGTCTCCCAGGCTCCCGGCCCCTGGGTGATGGGAATTCACCACAGCCAATTTCCACCCTAGAATTAAATGATTGTCTGCCCCAGCCCAGAGACCAGGACGCTTGCCCTGCCTGTTGGGAAGGGGAGAGGTGGAAGGGCAATGGCCTCGAGCACTGTTCTCGTGCACATTAGCCGTAAGGAGACTTGTTCCCGGGCTTCCTTTTATTTTATCAGGGAACCGTGGTAACACTGGTCCCTGGGGCCTCATCTGGGTCACACAAGACCCATGCAGTCATCTAGCCACAAGCCCGATGTTTATCATTCACGTGGCTTTCCCTGGGGTGGGGGGACCTAAGAAGAGCGCAATTGTCTGCACTGGAGGGGCCACGATGGGGTATTGTGTTCTATGGGGTACCAGCCCCCACAATTGAATGGGTGTAAGGGGCAGTTGTATCATTGAGGGGTAAAATTAGACATCAGACAATATAAGGCATGTAGTTGCTCACCTCCCGGATGGCCATGATCTCCGCAGCCAGGTGCAGAGAGAGAGAATATAGTAATAATCACGGCACATAGACACTTTTGGGGACATGCAAGCCCCCTGATTACATCATAATGAGAAGGGGTTATACAATCGGCATACATCAATCAGAGGGGGACAAGCTAGGGGTGTACGTGCAATAGGAAGAGGCAGCACTAAGGATACACATGTGACAAGATGGGCGGACCCTAGATTCAAGATGGCAGCCTAACCTTAGTCCTCCTTGACCTTGTCTCTGGGCTCTCCTTCAGGGAAACAATCCACTATCCATCTCAGAAGGGAGTGGGCCCTACTTAGGGTGGGACAGACTGTAGCGTGATTGCTCCACATGGCTGATAACTCTCAGCGAGCTGACCTCAGAGGGCCCAGTCATTGAATATGGGTTGCATGCAGTGTCTTAGGTTTGGCGTGTATTGGGGGACAACTTGGGAAAAGCCCTTCTGCATCCCACAGTGTTCTGCCAGACTCTGCCTTTTAGCCGCCCCATGGGCTGACGAAAGCTTGTCCTGAAGACGGCGGTCCAGCCGGCGAAGAAGTATCAAAGCGTCTTTGCCCGCATCCACTGATAAGGAGGCCATGAGCCTAGGAAGCCAATTATTCAGAAGATAAGGTACCTGTCCCCAAATACGTGAGGAGGGAGAAGACTTATCCTGCATTTCACCAGAAGGCAGGGCTATAGCCAATGAATGAAAGTCACCAACTCTCTCCTTTTTCTTAACTTAATGAACTCTCAAACTTCTATAACCAAGCAGCCATTGAATAGGCCGCCTCACAGATGAGGGCCCCCATCTCTAGAGGTAATCAAACCTCTAGACTGGGTCCATCCATCACATCAGGGGATGGTGTTAGAAATTCTGTAGTAAGGGACAGCCTGGATAGATGACATTGTTAACTTCCTCTTTGGAAGTAGCTTCAAAGTTAGAAAAAAGCGGGGAAAGTGAAAATACAGCTGAACCTTGAAGAGCGTGCCTTTGCGCTGCACGGGCCCACCTATGCACAGGCTGCTTTTCCTGTTGCTCCAGTTGTGACCTCAAGTGTGGTGAGTCTCCACTTACATCCCGGTGTGACACTCCCTGTCTCCACAGTGGGAAGACCAACTGCTCCCGGGGAGAGGATTAGAACACTCATCACACGCGAGCTCACCAACACAGCAACACAGCCAGAGGTACGTGGGCCGAGCAGTTCAAGCCCTTGCCGTTCAAAGGTCAACTGGGTATGAGGAAAGCCCAGTGCCCTTCCTCCAGGTTCACTCGGTGTGCTAGTAGCCTGTTGACTTTAGCATCGTCCTCTGCTCTCCTCACATGTATTATTTCACTGTTGTT